TAATAAATTCTCTTTTTTAATTATTTAAAATTTCTAAATTAACTCCATTTTTTTAAATTAAAAAAATTATGAAATAAATTAAATTTTTTAAATTTAAAAAATTATGAAATAAATTAAATTTAACATTTATTATATAAAATAAATACATTGTAACATATAAAATAACAAAATATATTAAGTTTTTGTTTAATTATTATCAAACATATTAGATTTTGGGTTTAACCACAATTTGTATATGTTTTTCATTAATTTTAAAATTGATTAAAATTTAAAAGATCTTTTTATAAATAAAAAAGTTTAACACTAAAATAGTGTAAATCTATTTTCTTACAAAATTTGGTATAAAAAATGAGTTTACACTATTAGAGATACTCTAAACCGTTGATCTAAAAATAAGTTTACACTATTTTAGTGTTGAAAATAGTGTTAAATTGGAGATGATTTTACATAAAAAAAATAGATTTGGTGTAGAATTTGGTGTACCATTGGAGATGCTCTAAACTGTTGATCTAATGCATGATGCATCCATTTCTTTTAGAAGCATTTTTGTTTTAATTATATAAAAAAACGAATATATTCTGCAAAGTATTATAATCAGTGAATATGACATTGTTAAAACCATCTGAAAGTACTATATATGTATAACACTATTGGCACATTCAAATTAATGGTTTAGAGTTGACTATTCAAAGAAATGCATCCTTTAATTTGGTAATCACCGGTTTAAAATATCATTATTTTGTAATTAGTGATGATTATAATTGGAGCATAAAATACAGCTGTTTGACACATCATCATCTGAATCTTAGTGAGCCGATTAAAAATAGAGAAGCCGAGCCGTGCTGGGAAAGGGATTCTAGAAGGCCAATCTTTTGAACTGGATGACACGTCATCCTTCCATAGATTTTTCAGAAAACAGGTGACTGCCACTAATCCCACGGGTTTTACCTTTCTTTTTTCCTTGATTTTCGCGCCCTTTACTTTCCATATTTGCATTTTAACCCCAATAATTTAGTTTATTAATATAGACTTGCATCTATTAAATATTCTATCAAACTAACGTCGGTTGACGGTAAGCATATTATTTTTGGATCAGATTTCTCAAGAAAAAGTCGCACACGGATTTAAACACTAGACGTTGTGCTGATATTAAATAATAAATACTAGTAGGATTTTTTTTTTTTTTAAATTCGGAGATAATCCAAATTTTACCATCTGACTAATTTTTCCAGAGTATGTTTAGTCATCAAGTAGCCTATTCACCAGATTTTTTAAAGGATTTAAAATATGACACTATTTTGACTTGCCAAATAAAAATTGTTAGATAATTCCGCACTTAAAGAGAATCGAACTCTGGTCTAAATCCGCGTAATAATTCTTTCCCAAGTTGAAACTACTACTCCACCACCACTTGATTATTAGTAAATACTAGTGGATGTTAGTCGAAACTAATATGGATTGTTTAGTTTTACACACTTATATAAAAGTTGATGACAAAAAAAAACACCTATTTCGATACTAATATAGATCATCCCAAAATACCAAAACGTAAAGCTATTTTTTGAGGTTTACATTCTAAATTTTTAATGGGATTTTTTGCCAAAAATACCATTTATTTGAAAAATGTCATTTATTCAAAAACCTTTGAAAAATGCAATAAATCACTGTTGGTAAAATAAAAAAAAACATTTGGTTCAAAAAATAGTATTTTTTAAACAAATTTTCAAACAAATGGCATTTTTTTGCAATTTTCTCATTTTTAATCGAATCCCTTGAACAGACCCCATATTCTAGAACCCCAGAACCAAATACCATTTCTTCGACTTAATAAAAAATGATATTATTAAAAAGTAATGACGAATATTCCAAATTACCAAATCACAAAAACTTTTCGGCTGAGGGACTCTTTATATAAACACGGCCCTTTCTCGTTTCTTTTCTCCTTGAGAATTCATATCCACAACTCCGACGAACCTCTCTGCCCTTCTAATTAAATTTGCAATTTCTTCCGATTTTGCCCCTCCAATTTCGATTTAATTTCGTTCAATGTCCGGAACCCTAGTTTATTCCGCCGGTAACTCTCTTCGATTCTCGCCGGGAAATAGCCTCCCTCAGCCTAAGACAATCAGATCCTTTAACAGAACCGCCCGGTTTCCCACCGGTGCTCCGTCGTTTAGGGCTTCGGCGCAGACGCTTAACGCCGAGCCAGCTGTAATGGAATCCGTTCGCCGACGAGCGTCGAGCCTCTACGAATTGCTGAAAGTGAATGAAACGGCGTCGTTGACGGAGATTAAGACGGCGTACCGGAGCTTAGCGAAGGTTTACCATCCAGACGCGTCGGAATCGGACGGTCGTGATTTCATGGAGATCCACAAAGCTTACGCGACGCTCTCTGATCCGACAACAAGAGCGATCTACGATTCGACGCTCGGAGCACGACGGAGACGGGTACACGCTGGTGCGATGGGTCGGACGGGTCGGGTTTACACGACGACCCGGAGATGGGAAACGGATCAGTGTTGGTAATTTTAGTATTTTTAGGATTTTTGTAGCAGCGAAAGGGCAGTTTTTGACTTCATTTTCCCCTTTGCATAAGTTTTTTGTTTTGTTTTCCCTATCATGATTTGGAGAATTAAAGGGGAAAATTAAGTCCAATCTGCCATTTTTGTTTACCTTATTTAAGAAGATGAAAATGTAAATTAAAAAAAAAAAAAATTATGAATAGAGGTGTATATTTTTGCTGTTATATTGGATGGGTCAATCTAATTTTAAGAGAAATACGAAGATTTTTTTCATGTCAATTACTAAAAATCAAGATTTCGTTTTGTTTGTTCTTGAAATCATAATACCGGAACTGTTGGGCGTTTTGCATTAGTCAAGTAAAGTGATGTTTTCTCTTTATAAACAACTTTTGGTTCGCCATAAACTAAAAGAGAATACTTTCCTACAACTAATATAATGATAAAACACTGTTTAGTAGATATTTTATGAAGTTTGTTGCCACATACACATATGGCATATGTATACTCTCTAGTGAAGATGCGTTTACAAATGCTTGCCTGTGAAAAAAACTGTGGTTGACTAAGACAAGTAGAAATACTGAAATAGTGACAATCAACCTGTGGAGAAAGTAAACAAAATACCTTTTAAAAATTACATCTTCAATCCAAAAATTGGTTTGATTTTTACATAAGATCTTCTTGAGGAGAAGAGAGGGGAACGTATATGAAACAACCGGATTTTACATTT